CAGAAGTTAAGCGTTCTCGGATACCCTGTGAGTTTTGGGTTTAGGTCCAGTTGGTCCGTGATGGCCGACTGGACGTTTCTTACACTTCAGTGTCTCAAGCACATATGAAGGGTGAGCATTAAAGCTCGGAATAAATGCTGTAGGCGGGTAGGTTTTAACTTCCGTGCCTTCAGACGATGGAAACATACTATTTTTTCAGCTTGTGACTCATGCAGGCGTTTCCGCCATTTTCGATTAAAGGCTTTTAAATAGTCTTGGTTATCGAAAGCATCTGAAATCAACTCAGCGATTGTACCGTCTACGAAGCGTGTACGATAGTATGTATAACCTCCCTTATCCGTTTTCCATATAATGTCTTTAAATTCAGAACAATTAAGAGGGGCATTAGAGTCATGTCTCCTTGCGAGTATAATCTCTGTAGTCGAAATACGACTAGTGCCTATATTTAAAGCACTAGAACCGTAGGGGTTGTTAACCTCATATGTTTCACTTTTAGTGTCGGCTACAGAGATTATGTTTGGTCCTATCAATTTCAATGTTAGTACAGTAGCATCGGAATTACGAAGTTCACTCTGTCTCCAACCTGATACTCTGCTATCTTTTTGGTAGCATTCCATATATTTTGCCTTTTTAATAGGGCCACATTATGTGGCTCTCGCAAGCAAGGACATACAACGTTGTTAATACGCTATACCTTCTCTATTCATAGGGATAATATTATTTATTTCAAAAATGGCAAGTATGTATGATACAATGTATCAACATATGGAATGGCTCTCATAGTTGCTGTAGTGGTTCAGGAAAGATTGATGGGAAGAAGTGGTCAGTAAATTCCCGTTTGAAGCTTGGGCCAAGTGAGTCGACAATGGAAGATATGTGCTGCGTCAATTCGGGCCGGTGTTGACAAAATACTGTTACTATCGAATGTTCCATATATTCGCTTGCTGACCTACTAAGTAGAGTACCCACCTCTGTGGTACGGATCGGGTCTGCGCCGTGTAGTGCCGCGGAATGGGTTAGTGCAGAGTACGAAATACCTAGAAGGACCAGGTTATCCGTCATAATCCGGTCGAGAAGCGAGGATGGGGGTAAGCCAATGCCGCACCAGACCACGGATGAATTCCGTATGTGTTGGCTGGCCTGGATCGGAAGTATCATAAGGTTCGTCCTTGATAAAATGTGATTGTAACTCACTATATCTGTCACGAGAATAGTGAGCGGGTGTAGTTCCTGTAAACGGATCAGCACACTCGTTCATCTGTGTTTGTACTCACTTAAGGTTGTACGGCCAATCATCTGCATAATCCGTTAATGCAGTACGTAAAAAGAACTTAAGTCATCTAAGGCGCGTTTCATTAGCGCCTTATTTTTGCAGTTTATATGGTACACCCCTATTTATGGCACATACCTGATATGAGCACTAACGATCTACCCTTATCAGTGCACATTATACCTGGCCATCCGTGGTCAGCAAAAACTTGGCAACATAATTCTGCCACGGTCTGCGTACTCTTGTCCTTAAAGAATAGAGCAAGTTATACCGTGACGCCACATCAAAGAAGTGTCATACGTAACGGTCGCCTGTGTGCTCGGACATAGGCAGGTCAACCAGATCAATAATGACCCTGCGCCATGGAACATCTTCAGTCACACTCTTAAGCAGTGCGAAACCATAGCGCTTGATCTGATTGAGATCACAGTATGTACATGACTGATATACTCTGTCAAATAAAGTTACCAGCTTAGGGTGCGCGATCCCATCTTGCTTAGCATCTTTAAGTGCGTCTACTACGTTCTAATGCTTCAGCTCGCATCTACCAAGCAAGAATGGTTTCATCATTCTGCTCTTCCAGAATAAAGATAGGGTGTTGAGAATCCACTTGCGTGGTCTCTAAGTGTGCAGTGTTTCCAGACTCCTGTCTTTCTTTTGCATGAGTGTCATGAGCGCGCTCGTGTGCGTTTGGTACACCTGTCTTATTTAATAGTCGCATTATATGTCTTTATGCTTCGGAATGGTACCCTGATAGAAGACAGTATCTACTCTCCTATCTAAATACATTGGCTCATTGATCTTTACTCCGTAATGGGTAACACAACGTGATGGTAGCTTTGTGTATATGAACATAATTTAGTAATTGGGCAATTAACTGCCATGGTGGATTAGCCCACGCATTATTTTCGGAGGGGTCAAGTTGAAAGGCATCTCTTAAAGGATGATTTAAAGTCCTGTAATTCTTAAGTTGTGCATTATGATGTGTAGCAAACATGTCAAATATATTTTGAGCCAGTTCAAACCACCTGGGGTTAAATTTCCAATCAGTGGCTAGTAACTCACGTACGGATTTATTAAAGTCCGGTACAAAGCATGATAACATATCCGGTAAATTGTTATGTATCCCTGGTAGGTGGTTTATATCAAAATGAGACTTTGATATTTAATTGAAGGTCTTGCAGCAGCGGTAGGTACTTTGGCAACCTGACTTGGTGCTTGAGGGTACTCTGGTTTATACGCTGGGGGTGCTGCACGACTATAGTCTACATACGCTGGATTAAACGAGGAGGGGCTCATAGGGTATGGTTTGAAAGGAGATGGATCCATGGAGGCAGGTGCACTAGAGGCTGGGGGAGCTGATGGTAAGGGCGCTTGGGACGCATCTTTATAGCAAAATAAGTGTTGGCCCCATGTTGCGCACTTACGATCTGCATAGCATACTTTAGTAAGTTTTTGACCAGATACTTCGTAGTGAAATGTTACCTCAGTTAATTCAGATAAGTTCACTATATGGTGCTTGTCTGCCTCACATCCTCGTTGATTCTCGTCGGCAACCATGAGATCGTTTGTCTCCCTATCGTACACCATTACCACCTCCTCGACCTTGACATTCTTCTCTAGCTCAACTTCCTGCTTGTGTTTCACCTTTGATTTGTCGACGGATCTCTTGACCAAGAAATAAGTGACCATTTGCTTTGATCTATTATGTTTATATTTCGTTAGAAAACTTATGAGGAGATCCATCAAAACACTCTTCAATATATAGTTGATAAAAAAATACGCATGCATGTAGCCGCAGGACATAGTGCATTGGTGCCCATACTGATTTTTTTCTTCTTCTTTATGATAATGTTCTCTCTAGTAGAGAGCTTACATAGTAGAATACTGAATACAGCAGGTAGCCCACTCCCCTTAACCCACTGGCCAATGGCCACTCCCCCTGTACCCCAGACCCTGGAATGTAATACATACTAAGGTGGTAAGTACACTCTGTATTAAGAACAGCACCCCACTCCCCAGTCCCCACTCTCCAGAGGCCCGGATAGAACAGATGGGTAATTTTCCTTTTTTCTTCTTCTACGTACGTGTACATACTTTTTACATAGTCCGCTCTTGTGTATGCTTTTTTTTACCAAAATATATTCAGTTCTGTAGACCGTACAAAGTGTAGTTGTGTAGGTACATCTATATTTACTATTTTGTTAAAACAAAATATTAACAAAAATGGTATTTTGTCAAGATTCTCTGTACTCTTGGAATCTGGAGAGTTAAAAAGTAGTGCCCCAAGCGGGCCCAAGGCCCAAGGCCCAAGGCCCCTAGCCCGGGGCCCTCAGCCCTCAAGACTAATTGTCAAGCCCTGGGGTGTGGGGCCTGGGCCGCCCTGGGCGGCTGGGCCCCGATCAATGGTCAACATTCAAGTTTCAACAACTTTCATCTTTTTATTAATATTTTTTACATTCCTGAAAAGATCTTTTTGCTCTTAATGTAGATCAGCTGATTGAGCTGAGACTTTTTAGTTTTTATATTTACTTTTTATTAGTGACTTTTTACTTTACCACGGACTAACGAATCAACGTCCAACCGTGTCAGCGACTGCAGTCTATTTAGTATCCTCTATACATTGTCAACAATTCAACATACACTCTAAGTTTAACATTGTACACTCTAAGTCCAACAGAACTGTAGAATGCAGGCCTGCTGCTGTCGCGGTGAGTGGGTCTGACAGATTCTGTCTGGAACTTGGTGTAATACTGTAAATATTAAATACGGCCACTCGTCGCTCGCGTATAGTTCACTATTCTTTAAATTTAAATTTAAATAGAAATTTTTTT